CTACACCCATTAACAGGCACCAGGTGGCACGATTCCTAGCAATCAGCAGTGGTGTTATTCAATGTGGTATCAAGCTCTACCTCTGGAACCACGGGGTTTGGGACACTGGAGACCATGACAAGCCTCACCTCTAAATCCAATTAGCAATATTTTAGCTAGTCTCCAAGAACATAAGAACATAAGAGATGCCAATGTTGGATCAGGCCAAAGGCCCATCCAGTCCAACACTCTGTATCACACAGTGGCCAGAAATATCAGGTGCCATCAGGAGGTCCACCAGTGGGGCCAGGACACTGTTGACCCCCCCAAGCACCAAGAAGACTTGCCCCAGAGTCCCTATCTATACCTTGTGGCTAATAGCCACTGATGGACCTCAGCTCCATATGCTTATCTAATTCCCTTTTGAAGCCGTCCATGCTTGTAGCCACCACCACTTCCTGTGGCAGTGAATTCCAAGTGTTAATCACTCTTTGGGTGAAGAAGTACTTCCTTTTATCCATTCTAACCCGACCGCTCAGCAATTTCATGGAGTGCCCATGAGTTCTTGTATTGTGAGAAAGGGAGAAAAGTACCTTTTTCCCTACCTGCTCTTTCCCATGCATAATCTTATAAACCTCAATCATGTCACCCCTCAGTCGTCGTTTCTCCAAGCTAAAGAGCCCTAAGCGCCTTAACCGTTCCTCATAGGGAAAGTGTTCCAACCCTTTTATCATTCGAGTTGCCCTTTTCTGCACTTTTTCCAAAGCTATAATATCCTTTTTAAGGTGTGGTGACCAGAATTGCACACAGTATTCCAAATGAGGTCGCACCATTGATTTATATAGGGGCATTATGATATTGGCTGATCTGTTTACAATACCCTTCCTAATAATCCCCAGCATAGCATTGGCCTTCTTTATTGCAGTCACACACTGTCTCGACATTTTCAGTGAGTTATCTACTACAACTCCAAGATCTCTCTCTTGATCAGTCTCTGCCAGTTCAGACCCCATCAACGTGTATTTATAGTTAGGATTTTTGGCTCCAATGTGCATCACCTTGCACTTGGCCACATTGAACCCCATTTGCCATGTTGACGCCCACTCGCCCATCTTTGACAGATCCCTTTGGAGTTTTGATAGGTAACTCAGGGGCAGTCTTACTGGTTCTTGGGGCCCTTGGCAAAAGTCCAGCATGGCCCCCCAGAATCACTGGCACCTTCACTCCACCAGGACCAAGCAAAAGGGTGCCCCTAACCCCATGTGAGGTGGGCAAGAGCCACTGCTGCTGCCAAAAGCCAGCTGCTGGAGCTCCAGCCAGGCAGGAGCCTAACCTTCTAGAGCGTGGGCCATGGGTGGTTGCCCCCCATGCCCCCCCCCCCCAAGTACAGGGCGCTGAGCTGCAGCCCCCAGGTAGATAGCTGGTGCAGTTTCTTGAAATTGTTTCCAAGTGGGATGGAAAGGCTGGAACCCATATCATTTACCGATTACCAAATTGCATCTTCTTTATTTGCAGAGGACAAAGGGGTTCAACTGCTCGCTTATATTTCTAGGTGCAAAGCGTTTTGGAGAAAGTCAGCCGAGATTCTGCCTCGAAACGGAAGGGCTCAGTAGGGAGAACTAGAAAGCAGGATGGGATTCAACTACTCCGATTTTACCATTCGACCTGCGCTTGTCATTGTCTCAGAAGAAATATATTTGGCACAGCTCTCCCCCCCCCCCGCTCTGGATGCTTAACATATCAAATTCTCATGAACAATACAAATTGAGCTATTCCAGATGTTTTAAGGACAATATGAAAGGTGCCAAAGCGAAGCCGGACAGCCCCACTTATACGTTTGTGCTGTAAGGAGAAGGGCTGATATCAAACTCATCCTCCCCCTTTGGTGCCGCACAATGGGGGGAAAAAACCCTATAATGCTGAAAAGGTCTGCAGAAACTCAGAGCTCCAAGGTGCTGCAGTGTTAAAGCTCTGCCAAAGGGGATTGCGTGTGATTTATCCTGGTCACACTTCCTCCAAAACTGAAAAACAGACTTCTTTGTGTAGTCCTGTTAACGGTGATCCAAAAAACAGAATAGGGGGTTTAAAATCTCATCGCCCAGCTTTCCAAAAAAAGCTAAAATCCTAACGGCTCTACACAGATTATACAACTGAGCCTGAAGATTTCCAAAAGATGCGATGGAGTATATCGTTAATCATCACGTTTACAAGCCAGACCAGAGATTCTTGACCAGCTGAGAGCAGAATTAAAATGGACATATTCTTCATACCATCGGAGGAGCCCCATCCCTGGTTTCACGCAAGCCTTGTATGCTTGTGGCAGATAAAGCCAGTTCCCCACATGTACAGTTCGGACAGTGCTAGTCACCTCCAGTGTTCCCTCTAAGCTGAGTTAGTGTGAGCTAGCTCACAGTTTTTTAGCCTCAGACTCACACATTTTTGTCTCAGCTCAGGAAGGATGGCTCCAGAGTGCACTAATTGATGCAGTAGCCAAATCGCTCGCTCACAACTTTAATGCCAGTTGCTCACAAAATAGAAGTTTTGCTCACAAGACTCCACAGCTTAGAGGGAACACTGGTCACCTCTTAGGCGGGTGGGAAAGATATTGTCCTCATCTGGCGTGGAGAACTTGCACTTAATTGCAATGATTGCACAGCTCTCTGCTACAGAAAGCATCTACCACATTTCCCCAGTAGCTTCTGGGAAGTTAGCGCCTCCCTGCTTGTAATTAGTAAAGGCCTGCCTCACTCCAGTGGAGATCTCTCCTATCATCCCTACAATAAAGCCACCAGTTTTCCACATACTGCAGTATTGACCCACTTGCATAGAATAAATCAACTCTGCTGTGGTTCCTCATCTACTAGGAGTAGATCTGGAGGAACTGATATCTAGGGATTTTTAGTGGAGATCCCAGAAGGGCCTGTGTTACACTACTCATTTAGACTATTAAACCTATTTTGTTGTCAGAGGGTATTAAACTTGCTCATTTCATGTTGGCAGAGAATGACTGCAGGCAGCATAAATTGCCTTGGAAACACGAGCTGAGATTTAAGAATTAGACTACAAGACACAAGAGGTTATATGGAGAAAGAGATAAGCATCCAGGGACGCTATGAAAAAAGGTCTCAAATAAGATGCTTTTGTGAAAGGCAGGCTCCAGTCCTATCACAAAAATCAGTTTTGTTTGATATGCTCTTAAGCCATTGAAAAGATGTTCTTGGTAGATGTCCAATAGAGGAAGGGGCCTAGTAATATCTCTCTGCTAGGGGAAACATGTGGGTCTGTACTCAGTGCAAAGACCACCTCTCTAGGCTGACAATCATCCAGGGACGCTATGAGAAAAGGTCTCAAATAAGATGCTTTTCTGAAAGGCAGGCTCCAGTCCTATCACCTTCCCACTATAAAAAAAAAATCAGTTTTGTTTGATATGTTCTTAAGCCATTGAAAAGATGTTCTTGGTAGATGTCCAATAGAGGAAGGGGCCTAGTAATATCTCTCTGCTAGGGGAAACATGTACTCCGTGCAAAGACCACCTCTCTAGGCTGACAATGATTATATCGCAGCCACCTCAGCTAAGCCTGAAGAGGCAATGAAGTATTTTAGGACCGGGATAATTCTTGCACAGTAATAGCGTAGGATATATTCATTTACAATGCTTTAAAGAAGCTTGTGCCTTTAATGAAGAAATGTTTGTGATCAGTGGAAAGAAGATTAGAATTATGGCAGACATACAGTTCAGGCAGAGGGGAATGTAAATTCTTGACTTGTAAATAAGAACTGAATGTATAAATGAGAGTTGCTCTAAGCTGAATGAGGAAGAAATGCATGGGCTTGTACGAAAAGCTCTGGAAGGTCTGCCAGATCTGAGATATTACAAAATCCAATTTCAGTCTTCCTTAATAAAAAAAATACCAAAGATATCAGCTGTAGTACAGCTATTAAGGACAGGCCAGCTCTACCTTCTCTAATGGATGCCAAAGTACCATCAAAGAGAGCAATAAGGGTACTTTTTTCTCATCTTTTTAACAACACTGCAGGCAGGCCCATTCTACTGATATTATGCCCAAAAGACAGATTGTGCAGAGGAAATGAGGATTTTTTTAAGCGAAAGCACATGAAGGAACAAGGTTTAAAGACAATAAAGAAAGGCACACAGAGAAGAATGACTACCACAGGAGATGGTGGCGGCTACAAGCATGGACGGCTTCAAAAGGGAATTAGATAAGCATATGGAGCAGAAGTCCATCAGTGGCTATTAGCCACAAGGTATAGATAGGGGCTCTGGGGCAAGTGATGCTCTGTCTTCTTGGTGCTTGGGGGGGGGTCAACAGTGGGAGGGCTTCTAATGTCCTGGCCCCACTGGTGGACCTCCTGATGGCACTGGTATTTCTGGCCACTGTGTGTTGGACTGGATGGGCCTTTGGCCTGATCCAACATTGGCATCTCTTATGTTCTTATGACTATGAGTTGTGGAAGGATCCCTCAGAATTCTTCTCCTAGCATGCACACACAGGGAGAAGGAAGAAAATTAAAAAACGGAGGCATTAAGCTCGGTCAACTCCCAGCCTCCAGGGGATGGAGGGAGAAGAGTACCTAAGTATTCCAGAATGTTCTCCTCTTCTCAAGCGAAAATACATTATTTCTGAGAAATGTCATACCGATAGAGGGACAGTAGTATTTTTGGATGCCCAGAAAGGTGATTGACCACATAGAATGGAGCTCTGCCAAGAAAACTTTGGCAGTATTCTCCACTGGATTTTGTTAATGTACATTAGTCCTAGACTAATAGCGAATAATAAACTCAAAGAAAAGTACAATTTGGGGAAAGTACTAGACTAATAATCCTTGTGTCACTACCACAACTTTAGTACAATGAAGTGGTGAGAATAAAATATGAGAAAGGAAACTGAATGGGATGAGGAATAAAGAATCTAAATTAATAAAATATGCTGCTAATGTGGCAATTGTCATTGACTGATCAAGTAATACCTTTGAAAGATAATACATGAGTGTCAGACCAGAAACTAAAACTGTTTATTAAAGAAAGACACACTTTACAAGTTATTTAGCTTTCACCAGTGATTTCACCTTCTACTTTCTCCCTATAAACAGGAGGTTAAAGAATTAATGGGTTTTTCCCTGTACTCAGCCGTCACCATCACCATTCAAACATGGGTAGAATCCAGCTCCGAATGTGAAGGTTCTGAACATCAACAGAGCAACCATAAGGAGAATTACTCCATTCTAAATGCACTGAAGTCAATGGACTTAGAAAGGTGCAACCCCTTTAGGACTGCATGGGAAGTCTTCTGTTTGTTAATGATGGTCAGATTCAATTAACGGGGCTTTCAATTAAGCCCCCCATTTCCCACACAACAGTCTCTGATAAGCTTGTGGTGCTATAACTTTACTCTTGATTCTTTTGCTTTCAAAGTCCTGTTTACTACTTCAATTCGCTCCTTTAGCAGAGAAGCTTCTGAGGCACTTTTGTTGGCTTGAATATTCTTCAGCAAGAAGTGGGAGAGGAAAAGCTTCAGGCCCTCATACAGCATTCCTAGCTTGGGGTTCTCAGCCAATCTGGAATGATATACAAAGGATTCTGAATTTTTACAACAAGTATCTATCCCTTAGACAGAAGACCAGCCAAACAGGATAGAGATTTACGGAAAATCACTGAGCACCTTATGTTCAGCAGTACCTCTTGGCTACAACTGGTTCATCCAAGGATACTTTTTATTTTCTTTAACAAAATGACCCTCAAATCCCCATTCTGCAAATGGTGCCTGGAACTTACTTTCCAAAGATGTAGCAGAGTTCTTCTGGGTCTGTTTTTAGGAAAAGTGTAGATAAAGTTCGCCGTAAAAAGTGCACTTTTGGCTTGTCTAGTTCACTGAACTCAATGACCTAGTTAAAAGCAACAGAATGTAAACATTAAAAAAGAAAACCCTTATGATGCTGTCAAGGTATCAGGCAATGTCTAAAATTGCTGACTGCCTTCTCACAATATTACTGACGTTTCTTGTATCCTACTACCCCCACCATAGGTGAAATTAGTACTCTGAAATTTCTACTATCTACGAGTTTAGCGAAGGTTTAGGATTCATCATGGCACTGATAACACAACACCTATCAATTTCACCTATTTATCAATTGACAGAAGGAGGGAAAAGTTTCCCAAGATACGGACTCATCAAGCAGCTAAATGCGAATATTTTTTTCAGACAACCTAATTGTTTCAACCAACACTATGGAAGTTATGAACCCACCAATACTGTCAAACCATCATTGGGCATTCTCTTAAAGATGAGGGGTTTCTCTAACATACACCGTATCAGGAAACTGAGAACGAACTGAAAAACAACCCAAGGCAGGCTACATAATATTTCTTTAAAGCATCCTTGATTGGCTAGGCACAGCTTCAGCAGTGCTCTCTCTCAAACTAGATTTGAGAATGCCCAGCTCATGTTTTGCCAATTCTCCTTCTGTGCAGTGACAGGAATGATTGCTTACCTAAACCTTAAAGCCATTATGTTCTCATAAAGCCTGATTGACACTGACAATAAATGAAGGGAGACAAACCTATATTTCCCCCGGGAATAAGGAATCAGTCATTACTCTGCCTTACCTACTATGAAAGAATCACATCAGAGTATGAATATACTATACATGCGTCTAATAACAAATGAAAAAAGACAAATACATTTTGTAAACAGAGTACTACTGACCTTGAAAACAGCAAGGGAGACAGATTTAGTCTTTAACAGATGAGTCAACAGATTAACTAAATTGGAGAAAGCGGTACTGGACGGGTTTCTCAGATCTCTGATTTTGTCCCACATACTGAACTGGAATGTCATCTAAGCACCGAAATAAAAAAGTTGCTTATGAAATATATTTCTTTAGAAAATGTTTATGCTACCTCTCCAGGAGAGCCCACTAGAGACGGATTACAAAATAAAACATAATAAAAACAGAAGAAGAGGAGGTTGGATTTATAACCCCACCCTTCACTAGGAGTCTCAGAGCGGCTTACAAACTCCTTTCCCTCCCCACAACAGACACCCTGTGAGGTAGGTGGGGCTGAGAGAGCTCTTTCCAGAACTGCCCTTTCAAGGACAGCTCGTCAGAACTATGGCTTGCCCAAGGTCATCCAGCAGCTGCAAGTGGAGGAGTGGGGAATCAAACCCGGTTCTCCCAGATTAGAGTCCGCGCACTTAACCACTACACCAAAGCTGTTAATTAAAACCCACTGCTCCTGGTTGAAATGGAGAACAGAGCAGGAGAGAGGAGGTCTCCTCCCTGCACTAACCTCTCCCTCCCTGCCTGGCCTCCCCAGCAGGCTGATGGGAAAGAACAGACTGCTAGGTGGAGGAGGAATCATCCCTCTCCTTTTTATCAGTTTGTCACAGTTTCCATTCCTACCTAGATCCCTGTCAGGAAAATGCACAGACAGAGACGGACTAGAGTGTACCAGAGACAAGGGAGCGCCTGTCTCTTGCTGAGCGCAGACTGGGATTCTTTTCTGTACCACAATCTGAACTTGACCCAATGGAGAACATAAACTATATTGAATCACGTACATGGAACAGGCTGCTTTTGACCCAAGACATCAAGTTCATCCAGCATATGTTTCCCAAGACATAATTTAGGATTATTATATTGACAGTTATCTACCCACCGTTAGGGGTCATGTGAACATTTGAAACTGTGATATATGGACTCAGGAGTAGTGGCCCCTTTTTTTCTACTCAAAGAGGCACAGAAGTCTTCCCAAAAACTCTCCTACCTGATGGGGGATTGAAATTGGGCTTTTTTCTACACTATGACCTCTCACACATCCCATTTTTTAATGTCTTTATATACAGGATGGATAACGTAAATGTTTTTTCCCCTTTGAAGCAGATTCTCTGCATACATTTTTACAAAGTTGTTGTTGTTGTTATTATTATTATTATAATATCAAATATTCATAACCACATTTCTTCTTTTTGGAGCTCAAGGAGGCTATAAATAAAATGCACGTTTTGTTTTAAAGTTTTAAAGTGTTGTACGTTTTAAGCGTGATGCACTCCACCCTGAGCTCTTCAGGGGGTGGTGGTGGGTGGTCAATAAATAAATAAATAATAAACCAAATTTTAAAGCCACAGTTTAGAGCTGCTTTAATCAAATTCAGTCCTAAATTAAGCCATCTTCAGCTGTCTCTTCTCGATCGAACGTGAGGGGGCCAGGCACACCTCCCTGGGAGGCTGCTCTATAAGGACAGGGCTACCACTGAAAAGGCCCTCTCTTCTGAACCCACCAAAAGAGCTTCTTCGATTGATGGGACATTCCGGAGGCCTCTCCCTGTGATCTTAATTCCCAGGCAGGAACATCTGGGAGATGATGGCGCTTCAGATATCCCAGTCTCAAGCCATAAAGGGCTTTAAAGGTCAAAAACAATACCTTGAATTACCTGAGCATTTGACAATACTCCCTTCGTTCCCTCTCTATTCGAACAGTATAGCCAGTAAAAAGAAGGACCGGTTCTTCACTTACCTGGAATCTCCTATCATATTCACAGAACTTGGCAGACAAATACGCATAGAAAGGGTTGTAAGTCTTCTCCTGTAGGCAACAATCTATGAGGACGTGGACAATTTCTCTCTCCTGCTGATCTTTAAGACCAAGCCTAAAACGTCAATTGACATGATGTAAAAACCATTTCCTGAACTTTTAAACTGAACTATTAAACCGTTTAAAAAAGAGTCACTGCCAGCTTGAAACCACCAAGAGGTAATTTCCTCTTGACTTGAGCTCAACCCATAAAGCTTCAAGCAACAAGAGCCAAAATGTCTGGGCCAAGATGATGTCTTCATTGCAGCATATTATTGGGTAATACCAATAAAGATGCATGGGTGAAAGATACAGCATTCCTTTCTGGAAAAGAAAGCATTCTGAAATATATGCCTTGCATAATGCAGACCTGTGGAAATACTGAGAGTGTAGGAGTTGGAAGAAAAGATCGTATCACAGTACAGCATCACTCATCTTTGACTGTGATGGCACTAAAGGGAAGAAAGGAAAAAAAGACCCTTCATATGAAGGTCGGTGGCTTTCAACATCTAGATTACTAAACTAACAGTTTATTTAAAACATTTATTAGCTGCCTTTTTATCTTATGGAACTTGAGGTGGCTTACAGTGTAAAAAGAATATAAAATAATAAAAGGCCCTAAATTAAAATCACAATTTAAAACTGCTGATAGAAGGATCGTATCACAGTACAGGCATCATATGAAGGTCGGTGGCTTTCAACATCTAGATTACTAAACTAACAGTTTATTTAAAACATTTATTAGCTGCCTTTTTATCTTATGGAACTTGAGGTGGCTTACAGTGTAAAAAGAATATAAAATAATAAAAGGCCCTAAATTAAAATCACAATTTAAAACTGCTGATAGCAATGTTCCCTCCAAGCTGTGGAGTCTTGTGAGCAAAAATTCTACTTTGTGAGCTACTGGTATTAAAGTTGTGAGCAAGCGATTTGGCTACTGCATACATTAGTTTGCTCTGGAGCCATCTTTCCTGAGCTAAGACAAAAATGTGTGAGCCGGAGACTAAAAAACTGTGAGCTAGCTCACACTAACTCAGCTTAGAGGGAACACTGGCTGATAGGTAGAAAACTAATCTAATTGAACGCCATCCTGAAAAAAAAAACATCTTCAGCTGACTCCTACAGACTGCCAGTGAGGGGGGCCACGTGCACCTCCTTGGGGATACTGCTCCATAATCATGGGTCTGCCACCAAAAAGGCCCTCTTTTGTGTACCCATCAGATGAGTTTTGTTGGCTGGTGGGACAGTCAAGAGGGCCTCTTCCTGTGACCTTAATCCCTGGGCAGGAGCCCATGGGAGAAGATGGGCATTCAGAAACCCCCGTCCCAAGCCATGTTGGGTTATCAATACTGAACCAGTAAGCCACTGAGAGTTAATTGTGGCCAAAGAGAAACTAGTCTCCAAAGTCCTTTTAGCTCTAGGGTACTAGAAGTTTCAACCAACCTAATTACAAAAATATAATCAGCGTTAATGAGTTCCCACTGGCTGTCTCAGCAGAAAAGTCTGGCAGGACTAAATTGTCTTCTTGCTCACACAGCTGGCTCAAATGGAAGACGATTCAGACACTACTGGCAGGGAAAGGCCTTAACTTATGCTGTACCTGTTCTGTCAAATAAGTCTAATTGGGCTTCCAGAACTGTCAAACACTTGGCAGCACTAAAGCCAATTAAAATGAAAAATGCTTAATACTATAATGCAGAGTGGGTCAACCACATTTGCATCATTTCACAATGAAGCCTTCATTTTTGTAGTTTCTAAATCTGAGCTGAACTTCCTGCATACAATGTTCCAATCCTGCTCAAAGGTAGACTCGTGTTTTAACTTTTTACAGAGACATTTCAATGCAGTCAAGGGAACGCTGGCATGTAATTGCAAACGATTAATGCCAGTAATAGTTCCACAAAATATTATTAGGGCCAAAGACATGCAACTCATTTTCTGGGATCGAGAGGCTGGGAACGAACGGATATATCAGCACACTCGTTTCTCACGTAGCTCCTTAGCAGCATTCGTTACAGGAGCAATTGCCTTTTGGTCCCACCTGCATGAAAGTGACCTATAACTTTATGATGCAACCTGAGACATCAAGCAGGCACGCTACAAGTTGTATGAAACAAGGTACTTAGCGATGTTTAATGACTTCATTATAGGCTGGCTTTCTCACTGAGACTCAAGGTGGATAACAAACCATAAAAACATTCACACGGCGTAAGGCATCCAGTAAACAATGCAACGGGACTAACCGTACAAGGCTGTGTTACTTAATTTATATGGGTACCTGGGGGTTAGCACACCATTTTAACAGACATGTTTGTTTCCCATACAAATCAGAGACAGCCTCCAATGTAATGTGCCATGACAACCAGCAGTAGGCTGCCTGATGGCATATAACTTTCAGAACAAAACTGAGACAATTGATCCTGAGTATCCCTTCAGGCATACTATGCACGTGCCAAGTTCAAACAACAAGGTTATGCATATAAATGTTCCTGGTAAATTCCTCTACAGATTTCCATTCTCTTGGAGACTCATAGCTTACGCATCCTCTACAAATTCTTCCTAGTGGTTTGCTTTTTAAAAAAACAACAAAAAAAAACAGACATGGAACGAGTCATTCCTCTCCAAGGGTGATGTGCCATGACTTGCAAGTGGATCTTTTCCTATAGGAGATTTTGCAAGTATCTCAAGTTTCTCTTATTTTACTGGCTTCATTTATTTATTGTATTTATTTTATTTGCATTATTTATAGTCCGCCTTTCTCAATGGGACTCTGGGCAGTTTACACAGAGCGAGGGAATACCATCAACAGGACGGGACATTCAATAAACAAATAAGATTTGTGTTGGAGAACCAACAGAAATCTAAAAAACAGAACTGAAGCAAAGCATGAGTGTCAACATGACACATTATATGATGCAGAATTACACCACAGGATCCAACTTACAGCAAACTATACACAGTAGTATAGACCAGAGTCGCTAATAATTTGTCCAAGTAACTCTGTGAATTGGTTTGTACAGTGTTACCCTATTGCCTGCATAGAAAAGGCCTTCTGAATAAGTCAGTTTCCTGTTGTGCAGCATCCACACTCTTGTTCAAGATTACATGAATTTCATCTTGAAGAGCTGCTCCTCATCTTAGCTGAATTTGCAGCAGCCTCCATTTTCTCTCAAAGGAAGAAGAACAAGATATTGGATTTATACCCTGCCCTTCACTACCTGAAGGAGTCTCAGAACGGCTTACAATCTCTTTTCCCTTTCCCTCCCCTCCCCACAAAAACACCCTGTGAAGTAGGTGGGATTGAGAGAGCTCTTTCGAGAACTGCTCTTGAGAGAACAGCTCTGAGTAAACTTGTAACTTACCCAAAATCACACCAGCAGCTGCATGTGGAGGAGTGGGGAATCAAAACCGGTTCCCCCAGATTAAAGTCCACACTCCTAACCACTACACCAAACAACATCCCACAAGTTTTCTTTGTGCGACAGTGCTGGCAATTTATGATGTCTTTGCAATAGTTTGGTTCAGTCTTGGGGTTTTTTTGCTATCAAGCTGTAGCTAAGTTAGAATTTTCAAGGCAAGAGACATTCAGGAGTGGTTTGCCATTGCCTGCCTTTGCCCAGCAACCACTGTATTCCTTGGTGGTCTCCCGTCCAATTACTAACCAGGGCCGACCCTGCTTAGCTTCCAAATTCTGAAGATATCAGGCTACCCCAAGCTATCCAGGCCAAGGCTAGGTTCAGTTGCAAACATACAAAGCATACAGGCACTCCTTCAGCAGGCAGCAAATCCACTGATGCCACATTAGATTCTCAGAAAGCAAGTTACTGTAGCGCCCACCAGACGGCATGCCAGCGTCACTCACTCCAGCTTTAATTCTCAACTGTGTCTAGTTTGTTGTAGTGGTTAAGTGCGCGGACTCTAATCTGGGAGAACTGGGTTTGATTACACACTCCTTCACTTGCACCTACTGGATGACCTTGGGCAAGCCATAGTTCTGGCACAGCTGT